GCAAATAGATATGCAAACTCCAAGGCAGTCGGCATGTCGTTTCTAGAGCGCATTTGGCTGAAAAAGTTTTCCACAACAAGTGTCAAGGTGGCGACCAGTTTGAGAAAGCTGTCGAACTCAGGGTTGACCTCTTTCAGAAAATCTCTCAATGAACATAATGAATCTCTGAGAATTTCAACGCTACGTTTACTCTTTGATGATATTGTTCCTTGAGGTCCTTGAGTCGCTGCTTTTCGTCCCATTTTCTCGTGAATCTCATCTACCCAAACATCAACTGCCGAACTCAATTCACTCAACGAGGAAATGGCGTCGTCGATAGTGTGGTATTCTGCTTGAACTCCGCGCAAATGAACTCCGAACATTTTGCATAACGAATCAAGTAGCTCGAGGAATTTACACAGGGAATTCGTTGGAATGATGACTTTAATAGCTCCTACCGCTGTATCTGCGACATACATGGTTTTCCCTTCGATGCATAATGCTGTTGGTTGAGAAAAAGATGCTGCTAAGCTGGATCCATCACTTGACTTATTTGCACCAGATCCAGCAAGCACTCGAATTTCTGAGGTTCTTGGCAAAAAACTTCGCACCAAACGCGATCCCCGGTCTGTGAAGACAATGTTTCCGTCGGTTGAAACATCCACCCCGTGGACAGCATGGCAATTTGGCGTACCACTTTTAACTATAAGCAAGCTTTCAGACGTTGCCAGATTGAACTTTGTGATTCCACCATCCCTGCTCGAGTTAGCAACATATACGCTGCTTCCATCAAACGCCAGTCCAAAAGGGTTTGCCGTTTCAGGAAGCTTTAAGACCAAACTGACAGTGCCTTGCAGAGATGCGCCATTGTTGCTGATGCTTACCTGGAAGACGGACTGGGAATGGCTGTCGGACACCATAAGCAAGTCTGTTGCAGCAGCAACAATTGCTAATGGTTTCTTGATCTCTTTATCCAATAGAAGCTTATTCAGATCAGATGTTGAATACTTGATTCCTTTTCTTTGGTCCTGAACCCATGTCGTCATTGCCTTTACAAGATCTTTCTTTTTAGCACAGGCGTTAACTTGGATATGACGCGCATCTAACTGAGCACGTAGGTCGACTACCTTCATCTTGTTGGGATCCATAAACACCGATGACCCAATTGTTTTGTACGCCACTCGTTCGTTGCCTGTATCCGCAACAAAAACGATGCCACTGCTATATGCTACACCATTGGGATGTTTCAGTGACTTTGAAACCTCGGTCACATCAACTGGGTAGTGGAGGCGGGCCAGAAATAGTTTAGATTTTTTGTTGTCGGTGATAAACAAACTACCATGATCACCAACACAGACACCAGTAGAATTCTCAATCACACCTTTGGAGTTTCCTTTATAAAGGCGAAAGGTCTCTGGGATGATGGTCTGCACAAGGAGTGGTACCTTACGGATGACATCTCTCACTGATGGCTTTGCAATGAGACGCATGGATTCTACCGACACTCGGTCCCGATTTCTTACCGCACTGAGTGTGACTTCTTTACGCATCTGACGTCTGATGTCATCATCTTCATCGTTATACAGCACGCGGAGATTCGAGAGATTAAATCTCTCGCCTTGAAGGAACAGAAACCAATTGGCAAAGGAAGACTTGAGGCATTTTCCGAGATGAACTGCTTCTGGGATTGGTTTTAGGAACTTCACCTGCTCCTTGATCTCGTCTTCAGTTTCTTCAGTGGAAAGCTTAGCGATCTGCTCCATTGCCTGTTTGTTGCTTTCTTCACAATCAGCTGTCCAAAGAAGAACCAAAAGCTTCACGCATTTAATACCTGATTCCAAGCAAGATCGGTATGCCCGAAGTGTAGTGTCACTACTTTGATGTCCCAAATCGCTGCAAGGCTGGCAGACTGTGCCACTCTAAAGACAAGCTGAAAGTAATGAATGCTAATTAAAACAGAAACTAACTTTTTCAGTGTTTAAATTAATTGCCTTTTTTTTTTGGCTGTTTTGTGATCAAGTTGCTGTTAGTACTTTTATCCACTCGGAAGGTTGCTTTAACACACGAGACCTTTTGTTAATTAAACTGTAGAGTTTTCAGTAAGCAGGTTTTTGTCAGGGTAGCATTACAAAAAGAGGGCTAGAATCTTATCATTTATTGTCTATCAACCTACCTTCACATCGGTTTCTGCAGCATTCTCCAGAAGTATCAATTGCGTTCATGGTGGTTGTTGTATGTCTCATTAAGCATCTAAGACAAATTTACAACTGAGCAACACGCTTCATTATTCTTTCTGCTACGTCTTCGCCGGAGACGCGTTTTCCCGTAAACTCCAGGCCAACAGGAAGTGACAAATTATTGTCCAATGAAGTGATAATTTCACAGTTGACCTCAGTTACAAAGGAGACCTTCAAAGTTCCAGGATCAGGAGATGGGGTTGCTTTAACGTACTCCAAGTCAACTGGGAAGAGAAGGCCAACCAACTCTTTTACACTTGTATCAAACTGGAGACCCGGCTTAATACTCATACCATCGGTGGCTAAACAGATTGGAATCACATGAAGATGTGGTTGGTCAATCAAGGGGTGAACTCCACTTTCCTCTAACTGAGCAAATAACAGATAGGAAATTAAAAGGTTTTTTATTATACCGTCCTTGGTGGTATAACCAGCCTTGTCCTTGCTTCTTGTTGATTTAGAGAGGACAAACGGAAGATTCCAGTTTCCCCAGTTGAAGTCAAATGTCCCACCTTTCTGCTGACCATGAAACCCGGCACCACGTAACAGATTCATAACTTTGTCCTTGCCATGAAATGCAAGAGTTTCAGCGAACAAGGTCACATCTTTGTCGTGTGTGAATTGTTTTCTCGGATCTGATGATTTCTGCGCAAACTCGAGGGCACTTCGAAGAACTTTGTAAAAGATGTGATGGCGTGGAAGATTGCCACTTTGGATCTCTTGTTGTAGAGCCACCACGACTGGATCTAGCTCTTCCAAGCATCTATAGGGCAGAGATAGAGTTTATAGTTACATATATTAGGGCAATTCACTTAATTGAGAAAGTAATCAATCGGCAGTTTCTCTAGAAACGTGCTTTTTGAAACATGACTTGAAAAAATTAAAAAGCATAACCACAGGTACTCAGACTGAAACGAACTTACACTAATCCATCACTCTCATCACTCTCGTATTCAGTATGTCCATCCTCAGAATGGCTGGTAAATTCAGACTCTTCTATATCTTCGCTTTGTAGACAAAAAAGGAATCAAACAGCATATTTAATCAGTTTGGCCTTTATTTCAAGTGTTTATGAACTGCAGTTGACAATTACAGTAAAACGGAAGTACATTTTTTTCTTCAAACTCATTCGAGATTATGAGGACTCGGCGTAGTTCTTACTTTGCAGTTTTGCATGCTTGAGAATATGTCCCTAATATCGCAACTTTTCACAACCTTGCAGCTCTTCCAGTGATCTGTTTAGGAGCAAGTGGAAAACAGGAATTAGCACTGCAAGGGCATAAACATGTGATCAAGGAACCAAGGTCTGCTACTAAATTGAATATTTACTTCTTATGCAAGACGGACCACCCTCACTCCACCCGTTCCCACATCTTTTAACTTGATGTTAACGTTTGCTAGAATATCTTCTCGCGGGTCGTACACACAATAAAGAAATTCAGTGAATTATAATCTTGTCTTAAAATACATGGGTCATGCATTTGTGTGATTGATGTCATTAATGTAATTTTCCAACATTATACCTACGGTTCCTGAAGTGCTGATGATATCTCAGTCTCTTGACAGCCCTAGTTACTCCGCATTTTCCACACACGATGTGTAGTTCCGTAACTGCGCGAGATCCTGGATAGTGGACTTTAACATCTGCAAATGGACGTATACTGATAGTAAATTACTGTGGTCACTTTTTGTGCGGGCTAAAGAAAAGTTAGAAGTGATAAGTTAAGATCTTAGAAAATAGTCTTCTCACCCTGCTTAAACTTCTCCAGAAGTTTTTCTTGGTCTTCTCCTCTTTGATATTTGAATTCCTCAACAGTACCAGTGTAATTTCTCAGTTTCAGGAGCAGGTCTTCGTCTTGTACAACACGCTCATCCCGCTTGTAAGGTCCCCTTATCACTTTCTTTTTTATCTTCGCGCTCGTCGATGAAACACCCTTAACTCTACTGTATTGTATTTCATGAAGGCGAACTATGGTAATAGATGAACAAAATTTAGATCCCTGAGCCATTTTAATACTAGGAAATTGCTTAACCTTTACCCTTTCGCCAAGATTATTTTAAAGAATCTAAAGTAGATATTTGGCGAAAATGGCAAAGGCCGTAATTGAGTTAGCCTTCTCTACCAGGTTACCGATGAAAAACTTATTGGAGAGGAGAACTTGTATTATCCTGGGGTATGTTAACGACAATGAGACATTTTCTACTTAAACAACTTTTTTAACCGGTGACCACCTTATTAATAATTTACATAGCATTGTTACTCACCAGTGAGACAATATTGCCCTGCGCCACTGTAAAAACGGGTCCTTAAATTTTCCCAATCCGTCTGCGCGTTGGCCATGTACGTTTTCTCAGAACAGGCGACACCAATTTCAATATTGAAATCGCCGATTTGGTTCCTTCTGGCATCAGTTGCCAATCCATATTCTTTTCTGAGATCTTTTTTTAGAGTACACAAATCTCGGTGAAAGTCTGACATCACGAAAAGGGTATTTCTGCAGCCAGATTTCTTTGAGTGGCCGTATTTATAGACCTCTATTGTAGTGTCGACTGTTAGTTTCGAGCTATCTACTGTGGACATTGTGGCGGACGTACTTTCGTTGACGGAATTCTTGTTGGCAAACTGAGCCATAGTCATCTGAACTGATTTCGGCCTCGACTCTTGCTTCCGTTTTTTCACTTCGCAGACACCTGATTGCTCCTCGTCTGAGTGGTCTACACAGCTCCTTTTTCTTTTTCTATCTTTCCTGTCGTAATCGTTTGCTAGAGTAATGAAAGACAATTTATGACTGATATTTATTTTCAGGCACTACTCAAAGGAGTGTTGCGTGACCGCAAATACCAGATACCCCAGAGGCGATCAGAGGCGTCGGAGATCTGTAACCAGACCTAACCACAGTCTTCCTTCAATGCCATGTGTTTCTTTTGTTTCTCAATACTTACGCAATTTCCAAAGCTTTGTGACAAATTGAATTTTTTTTTTTTGATCGCAACGTAACTGTCCCATCAAAACTAGTAACTTTCGTTTTTTTAAAATTCATAAGCTTAAAATACTTCAGAACTCGAATTTTCCTGGGGTTGTTGGACATTAGATTCTCAATTTTTTCCCGTGTCTACCCCCCAAAAACATCTAAGATGACGTCAGAAACCGTGAAACGGTTTATTTAATCTTTTTACCAAATTTTCCCTTGGTAAAAACGTCCCAAGGAAAATACTGAAAATCTGACGAAACGTTAATGAACGGAAGACTCTCCCTTAACGGTTTCCGTACGGGTTACTTGGTCTGCCTGGATCAAATGTATAAGTTGATGACCTTTGATCCCCGTTCATGGTCATTCATGACAGATCCGGAATTTTGCGTGTTGTGAAACCATTTATTCTATAATTTATGGGTTAGCGCTGACTCATGGCCACGATAACTGGGAATGATATAAGACATATAAGAGCAGTAACCTCGAAGACTAGTAACATTCCGCTAATTTTCATTGACGTTATCATTCTTTTAATCTGAAGATTTACACTCACCTGGTCTCTCTCTTCTTTCTGACTTTTCGCGCTTTTTTTTCTTTCTTGTGCTTTTTGACCTTTTTGTGTTTGCCCATGTTGATGCCGTCAGTGACCAGTCAGTGGCACCTGATAGTGACGTATTTAAAGAAAGAAGAAATGATCGGAATTCGCTTGCAAGTAACGACAGTAACACGAACGCGACAGTAAAATATCTCGAACAGATGACAGAAAGATGGAGCGCGCGCGCACGTGGCTCTAGCCTCCTACCCAGATGCTCTTTGGACTCGTCATGCAATCCTCCTGTCGTGACGAGCCCTGGTTGGTTAATTAATTTTTAGTTTTTGTTAATTAATGTCATTAATGACGTTAATACAAATTATTTTAGTCGGTAAAATGAGACGTATTTATGACTTATTGTATTGGTTTTATTGAAACGTTATTGACGTTATTGTTTAAAACATTCACTGCTTTCACAAATCCGAAATTCGCTGTCGGTCTATTTTGACATTGGTGTCGCTTTCCCTATTTCGCTGGAGTAGTCTGTCGTTTGTCGCCAATTCGTAGCTCTCGTGTCGCCGTTTCAAGGCCATGTCGCTTGTCGGAATTTACCCCTAACAGGGCCTCAATGTTTAGTTGCTCAAAATTGGGGCAAAATCTTTCGAAGATGGAAGTCAGGACATTTGTAAGGATACAGAAAGTAATTTGGGACCAGTTGCTGG